CTCAATAATAAATTTGTTTTTGGGACCTCTATTGTGAAAAGTTTTTTCCACTGGAAAAATTGCTCATGGAATCTTCCTTTGCTTAGGAAGCCATGGAAGCTGAGGAAGCTGAAAGCTTGGGGCTTCTCTTGAGCTGAAGATCTGAGGCTGCAAAGCAAAAGGATTGCTGAGAACAATTACAAAGAACCTGAGAAAGGAAGCTGAATACAATCTATGAAAGGAAAATGAATACTACAATCAACTACAAAAGATCCCTCACCAGGAATCCAGATTTGTTTTGGTGATAGTTTATTATAGAGGACCTCCTGTTTGTTTGAGGGGAGGGGGGGGGGGGCCCGTTTACTAATCAGGCGCCAACATTAGTGGTAGTAGGACACCCTCTATCCTGAAATATCTGATCATCCCGAATTTCCTTCATTCTCTAATAAAGCACCAGTCAGTAAAAGGGTGTATAGGTGACTGTAACTAGCCTTGAATGAAACCGTGAGAACGTGACTGAATTGGAAGAATTACCGATCACAGATCACAATGATCACGTAAGGTGCACTCCCATGAAAAACCTGAAATAACATGAAATAACATCGGAATGCGAAAAAGCAATAGCCTATAAAGCCTCCTTGCCTCTACACAAATGCTTTGATTCCACACCACATTACTTCAAACGGAGGGTATCTCAAAGCGCCCTTCATGCAAAAATGCGGCTTGACAGTGTGCAGGATTGTCAAGAGGTGCTCTTTTAAGATCGTGGCAACACTTCAACCAGACGTTAGCTGCACTCATGTGGGCGTCTATTTCAATAGTGGGACAGCCTGCCCCAAGGCTTTTGGATGGTTTTGATCTATTCTTTCTTCCAGGGCGTCCTTGCCTGCGAGGTCTCCCTATTGTGGCACCGGGGGGATTGTAACACCAACTCGCTTGGCCCGACGCGTTCGCCGCCCGTCATCGATACGAGTCCACGGTGGCGGGTCTGGACCCGGTCCGTTGGACGAACGATGCCTGCGTCAGTCGACTTCGACTTCTAATCCTTCATCTTTCCGTGTTGGCAAACAACCAGGTGATAGACTACGTGTTTCATCATTATTTATAGTGACGGACA